GTCGTGTGTGTGTGTGTGTGTGTGTCTGTGTCTGTGTCTGTGTCTGTTCTGTGTCTGTGTGTGTGTGTCTGTGTGTGTGTGTCTGTGTGTGTGTGTGTGTGTGTGTGTGTGTGTAGCGGTTGCGCTCGCTTGATGTGAGCTCTCGGCTCTTCATCCCCTTCATAATTCCTCACCCTCAACACACATGCATGCAGGCCATGAAGACCACGCCGTACTTCTCTGTTCAGCTGCCGGACGGCGCCGTCTATCTTGCCGTCATCACAGGCGCGTTCCCGCTCCAGTTTGGCAGGTCAGTTTTGAAAACACATTCTGTGTCTGTGTGTCAGAGAGAGAGAGAGAGTGTGTGTGTGTGTGCGTGTGTGTGTGTGTGTGTGTGTGTCTGTCTGTCTGTCAGTGTCTGTGTGTGTCTGTGTGTCTGTGTGTCTGTGTGTGTGCCTGTGGGTCCGTGTTTACGTGTCTGCTTTACAGCAGTGAATTCGACTGCACCTTCAATGCGCTGTGTTCACTGCGCACCTCAGCTCCAAAAGGTCTCACTGTCACACGCAAACCACACTACACGTATGCACGCGTAGGGAGGTGCTGTGCTCCCCAGCGCTGCTCAATACGCCCGATCGCATTGAGTGGAAGCGGTGTGTGCTCGGTAAAGACGAAGAGACAGAACAGGCGCGTGCGTATCGCAAGCGGTTTGCAGAGTACGACCCCTTTGTTAAGCGCAAGGACTGAGGGTTGGGTTGATTCGCATGACGGCAGTAGTCATTCATTCATCCAACGCAGCCATCCAAGCATTCATCCAAAGCAGCCAATGAAGTCACCCGCCGTTCAAGTCGAGCATCTAAACCAAACCACCACCTCCTTCCCTCTGCTTCCTCGTTCTTCCTTTGTCTGCTCGCGTTCTGTTGAGCAAAGCATCTCCCATTCCATTTCATTCTTCAATCAACAACAGAATAGAGACAACGCAATGGACACCTGTGCCAACAACTGTAACTGGCTGAACAGAACAAACACACAATGTGGTGGCAACAAAGCAAGAATCAAAGCAGACACAGGGCGCATGACACACGTGTACAAGCCAGAAAGGTGACAGCCAACAACGACTACATACACGCCTGCACACACACACACACACACACACACACACACACACACACACACAAATGCACACAACAAAACAAGAGCAACTTATTCTACAAAACCGTTCATTGGCAACAAAGACAGCAATGCAAGAAGAAGCCACATGAGTCATCATTGGCCGTACAGCGATCGCATCTGCTGCTTTGCTCGCTGCAGCGTCTCGTGCGCCAGCTCATAAGTGCTGCCACTCATGGCGGTCTGATCGCCGATGGCGCTGGCGCGCAGTGTGTGGAATGTGCGGGAGGCGTGTGCGCCGGCATCACCCTCTTCAGCAGAGAGCGGTACCCACTCGTCAGCGGGGACCTGGCGTGCGTCGTACATGTGATACGACGATGCCGGCCACGACCCGCTCGCGTGCGCCCGCGAATCACCCGCCTCCGCAAAAGCGCCTGATGTTGGTTGAGTGTTTGTTGGTTTCATGGATTGAGCGAATGTGATGTCGTTGTGAGTGGCGATTCAAAGCACCCACACACACACACACACACACACACACACACACACACACACACACACACACACACACACACACACACACACACACACACACACACGCCGCGATGTGCGCACCTTGTCGCGTGGTCGTGGTCGACTGCTGTGCCTGCAGGTCCACTGGCATAACGCGGCGGTGAAACAGAGGAGAGCCTGCAGTTGCTGCTGCCGATGATGACGACGAGAACGACGAGGACGATGGCAACGAGAACACAGCAGGAGGCTGCTGCCGTGGCTGGTGTGGCTTGTGCTGGGACCGTGCCTGCTGCTGCTCCTGCCTGTACCGCCGCTGTCGCTGCTGGTGCACGTGTGTGCGTCGGTGTTTTGGCGACAATTCCCCAGCGACGTTTTGTCGAGCCGGCATGCGTTCGTCCTCCACGGGCACATGCACACGTGATGGTGGTGATGGCGGTGCATTAGCACGCCCTGCACTCGCAGCATGTTGTGGGTGTTGCTGCTGCTGCTGCTGCTGTGGCTGTGGGTGCTGTTGTTGAGCACTTGTTGTGCGGCTGTCCACGTTGCGATTGCGTTGACGGACACGGTATGATGCTGCCTCCTCCGCCGCTCGCTCTTGCTCTGTGCAGAAGTGATGAGTGTTTGGGACCGGGGTGGTTGCAGACGCGCTTGTGAGTATCCAATGCACGATGTTGACGTTGAGCTTGGTACAGCTGAAACACACCCACAGAGAGAGAGAGAGAGACATGCGCGCGATCGAGCAAGAATACTCGCGATCAATCACACGCAAAACTGCACGCACTGTCCAACCCATCCACAGCTTTGTGTTTACCTCTGCCGATGGACTCAAAGTACTCGACAACATTTGATCCATCAAGTTGGTGCTGGCGCAGCTGCTGCGCAACATCGCGGTCGCATTTGTACT